AATAATGTTCTTCCCTTTTTTCAATTTGTATTTTTGTTAAAAACAAAATAATGAATAGTGTTCATTGTGGTAAACGAAATAATAATTTGATCTAAGTAAGAGTTTTTTTTTCGTCCCGATTTGTAAAAAATCCTTACGTGTTAGAAAAAAATTAATATTATTTTCGAAATCTGCGTAACTGAGTTGTGGAAAGTCCGTTATTAAAACCAACAACTTTTATGAAGTTTAAATTTGCAGACCTGTGTCATTATATGGTTGCATGGAAAATTAAGATGTACCCGAAACATCCGTCCCTGTTTGGTCAACAGTAAGTTTACTGACTTACAACGCTAAAATTCGGGGTTCGGCTCCATGCTGTGGACACCAATTTGCTCTAAACCAAACAAACCTATAACGTCCCGCTTTTTATTCTTTCTTTTAGTGCTTGACGCCTGCGGATATAATTAATCAATATTAGATTTACTAGAATATTTGGTTTATATTAATAAGTACGTGCTGTAATTTTTCATGACAAAAGCTTAATTTATAATTGACTAGACTGATCTTTTTATTTCTTGCGCAAATGTGGATAACAGAAAGCTTTTAGTGTGTGTAAACAACCTTAAAAGCTTATTGGTGTATATGTGAACAAGAGGGAATCCTCAATAGCCACGGCACTTGAAATTCTTTTAGGCAGGATTAGATTAAATTAATCTATGATACTTTATTCTTGTTATTAGCTATATTTTTGCACGCCAGCAACACCAAGCGTGGGGCTCGCGTATACCCGATTCGATTTTGGTACTAATTAGGATCTCTACCAGCTTACCCTCAAAATGGAACTCTTTTAAGGCAGGAGTAGAGTGAATTAATTTACGAGACCTTGGACATGGTCAAATACATCAATCGAAAGGGTTTGACTTTCTAAGTCCAAAATTATAATTAGATTTCAAATTGGTCAAGAGATGACGGAGCTGTGAACTAAAAGTTTGTATTTGAAAAACTCAGTCACTATAAGCCGCTATGCCGCGGGAAAATAAAAATATGTGTGTGTGTGTGTGTATATATAGCCTTTAGCAATACTTTCCTTGGATGTTTCTATTGAATGTCTGCACCAGTACATTAATTCAAATCGATGTCAAAACCTGAATTCTTGGTTAGAAATTATGTCAGTAGAAGTAGTTTTTGTACTTGATTGAAATGAGCGGAGTTGTTTGGTGTACTTGCACGTGTTCGGGAACGAGGGTATCAGATAATAACAGCCCCAGGGAATAACTTCAGACTGCTTTAGAAATTCCAGTGCAGTTCGAGTTAAGTGTGTTTGTGAAGAGTCTATTCAGCTTTTGTTGTTTTACGAAAGAAAGTCAATTTATATCCCCATCTAGTGGATATATTATAAACTAAATTCAATTGAAAAAAAAAGATCAACATTGATATTTCTTAAGTTTAATGCCTAGAGAAACTGAAAAATGTCGTGCTAAACATTTTGAGAATATCATAAGAATGTATACATAGTTTATTTTGTTTAATCTGTGTATTGTTGCGTGAAAACTATTTTCTTGTTGACTTTGATCATATCCTGCTTTATCTTCCAGTATTATAAAGAAATGCTCCCTTTCTTTACAGGATGTGTACTGTGGCCCAGAAACAGTATGCACAGTAGACGGTTTACATTTTAACAGCGTGTACAGAGCCAGAGCGAAAGCTATCAACAGCACAGGAGAGAGTCGTTACAGTGACCCAATATCTTTACATACAGCAGAAGGTACCGGCGTTGGATACTCTTTCTCTATTGATTTAAATACGTAGTTTGTTGTGCAATCTGTTTATCAAGATGTTTCTTTTAAAGGTGATATTACTATATAGTTAGTGCCGATGAATAGTTCAGCGCTGGTTTTTATTATTTCTGTTTGTAACACGTGTACTTTTGTTTTATTAACAATTATATTTCTGACAGTTTATACAGAAAATAAAATTAAGTATTATCAATCCTTTCCTTACTTTCTTGGAGACTAATTTTCTTTGTTAACAACTTATAACTGGGGAAGGGGGTGGAAGAGGAGGACAAGACTATTAATGTTATCATAACTTTAACGATGTAGTAAAACTGGCTAGAAATCCTGTTAGTTGATATATAGAGTTATCTTCTGGTTACCAGTTTTAACCAAGCTACAGTTTCTGATCTAAATTTCGGCCCGGCATGGCCAGGTGGTTAGGGCACTCGGCTTCCAATCGTCACACCAAACATGCTCGCCCTTTCAGCCATGGGGGCGTTATAATGTGACGGTCAATTCCACTACTCGTTGGTAAAAGAGTAGCCCAAGAGTTGGCGGTGGGTGGTGATGACTAACTGCCTTCCCTCTAGTCTTACACTGCTAAATTAGGGATGGCTAGCGCAGATAGGCCTCGTGTAGCTTTGCGCGAAATTCAAAAACAAACAAACTGATCTGAATTTCAACTAAACTTTAGGTATGTTAAGCCATGAATCAACCTGTATTGTATTAGCTTCTCAAACAAAGTGAGGCATACCTTTCATAAACCATCAAGAGTAGAAATTATGTATTTTATTTCTATTGTACAGAAATATCAACTCCTTATGAGGTTTTATTTGGAGATTTTTCTAATGATGCGAGCAAGTTAAACGTTTTCTATACAATAAAAAATGGTATTGTAACATTAAAAATGTGAAGTAGGAAAGCTGTTATTTTCATCACTATTTGTCAGGTTTGTATATTTTCTGTTTATTGGTATTTGAAGGAAGTAAAGTTTAGTGAACTGAAATACAGTATAGTTTTATTACAGTGCATTGAGAGTATTTTTTTCTGTTAATTTCAATTTTTGCATGACAGAGTTTAGCTTTAGCTTAACTTGTTGAATGGATTTTGAATAAATGTTACTTTCACTGGTGACCATTATCAACATTTGCCTAGTAACCTTACATTTTGGAAAAATAAATATAAACTGGCCACCTTCTGGTTTTTAAAGTTTTTTCAACAGTCAATCATTGATTTTTTTTACTATACGACCTGTGTAATATCATCTTCATGTGAATATAATAATTTACAGTTTTTAATAAACTTCTCTGCTGTTTACAGTTGCCTGGTTTACTCTGGACCCTGTCTCAGCTCATCCAGATATTGTTTTGACCAATGAAAACCAGACAGTTACATGTGATAGCTACGAACACAGGGTGGCCCTAGGGAATGTTGGGTTTTCTCGAGGCATCCATTACTGGGAGTTTTTCGTGGATAGACTTGGGAACAACACTGATCCTGCATTTGGTATAGCCCGTTTTGATGTAGTGAAAGATTTAATGTTGGGTAAGTTAGTATAGCTAAACATATTCACATTTCACATATGTGTTTATAAAACCATATTCACCAAGGTGTTGACTGAAGATCAACTTCTACAGCTTAGCAGTACTATCAACCAGTAAAGTCCTAGACATTATAAACTACTTAATGTCTTTACTTAATGCGTGATTGCTTGTTTCATGTACAACTGAGTGGAACTTGAAATGTAGTTTTTCAGGAATATGAATACAAGGTAAATATTATTAAAAACTTTGCATTTACTACACCTTTTGTATGATTCAGCAAGTACTTTTCTACCTAATGATAATCTAATTAAAAAAAACCTTTCTTTTTTTTAGAAACAGGAATGTTTTAGAAACAAAATGCTTATAGCTGAAACCATCCATCAATTTTTGTATTATTATTTTTATCTCACTATTATTCTTTAAGGAAAGTTGAGTTTAATATATTTTAACATACAGATTTCTTATAAAGTTTCATGATATTTTTGAACATTAGTAAAATAATTACTATTTATTATAGAACAGTAATTTTGGGGGATATACCAATGGAATCATGGGGAACACTAATCCATAGTCACCAAAAATGGCCACCAGATAGCATCCGTCAAGGTCTGTTAATGTAGTAGGTGTTCCATGATACACAACTGACTTTAGCTATCCCCATTGTTGCCAAAAATCACCCGGGTAACCCTCCTGTGGGCAATAGTGGGCATCTCTATAACCAACAATCATGTACGCCACCAGAGGGAATGAAGCCATGTTGAATATTGAACAGCTTTATTCAGCTGTTCATCATGCCATTCTAAGGTTGCTGATCATTATTAAAGCTTCACTCAGCTGTATGTCACATCAAACCAAGGGTGCAGGCTATCATTAAAGCTTCACTCATTTGTCTGTCACATCATCCCAAGATAGTAGGCCATCATTAGAGCTTCACTCATTTGTCTGTCACATCATCCCAAGATAGTAGGCCATCATTAGAGCTTCACTCATTTGTCTGTCACATCATCCCAAGGATGCAGGCCATCATTAAGGCTTCACTCGTCTGTCTGTCACATCAAACCAAGGATGCAGGCCATCATTAAAGCTTCACTCAGTTGTCTGTTGCATAAAACCAAGGGTGCAAGCTATCACTAAAGCTTCACTTAGCTGTCTGTCACATCATACAAAGGATGCAGGCCATGATAGTAGCTTCAGTCAGTTGTTTATCACATCAGACCAAGGGTGCAGGCTATCATTAAAGCTTCCCTCAACTGTCTGTCAAATCATAAAAAGGATGCAGGCCATTGTTGAAGCTTCACTCAGCTGTCTGTCACATCACTCCAAGGATGTAGACTATCATTAAAGCTTCACCCAACTCTGTCACATTAAACCAAGGGTGCAGGCCATCATTAAAGCTTCATTCAGCTGTTTATCACATCATACTAAGGATATAGACCATCATTGACATGAATGGTAACCACAATGAGCAGATAGCATCTAATGGTGACCATTTCCAGTGACCACATATTTATGTACACTGTGGTCTCATTGGTATATCTGCCAAGAAGTATTGTTTTTGATGAATAGCAATAATTTTATTGATGTTCATATATGCTAAGGAACTTTATAAGATCTCAGTATTATTGCACTGTTTGTTGTGACCAAAGGCTGTCGACAATTTGAACTAAAGGCTATCAATCAAAGTATATGCTGAAGTGCAATATGTTCTGAAATAAATATGGGTGATGAGAGTTTTTTTGTTTTATTCATGCAACAAATGTCTTTTAGCTATAAATACTGAAGCACATTATTATATGCCTGTATAAAGATGGTGTGGCAATAAACAAGCTTAATAATTTTTCTATCTATATTTACATCTCAGTGTAACTTTATGTAATATGTTTATAAGCCTAATTTGTTTGAGTAATACATGATACATGTGTGTGTTTTTTTTGTGTGCACTTTTTTTAAGTTAGAGAAATCAGAATCGATTTAGATATACATTTTTTGATCTTACAAGTTATAATAATTTTGTATGTAAAGATTACAAACCTTGTAGGTTATAGTCAAGTTATAGTCATAATTTGTGTGGATTCTAAGAGCAGAGATTTTTATACATGTAAACTGAAGTTAACAGATACCTAGATTAGTATCAAGAAAGATTTCTGTTTGCAGGCAAAGACAACAAAGGATGGAGTATGTACATTGACCACCAGAGGTCATGGTTTCTTCATTATGATCACCATCATAACAGAACGGATGGAGGAATAGATGAAGGTTGTGTAGTAGGTGTTCTTCTGGACTTAGACCAGCATCACCTTAGTTTCTTTGTGAATGATGAACGTCAGGGCTCTGTTGCTTTCTCTGGTCTCCATGGTGTTTTCTTTCCTGCAGTCAGTGTCAACAGGAATGTGCAGGTCACTATCCACACAGCTCTAGACCCTCCAGCAGAAGAGAAACCATGTGTAGGAACTTAATTCTAAACCTAAATGTCTGAATGAAGACATGGACATTGTACTTAAAGGGGGGGGGGGCAAATAAACCGCAAAGTTGGACTTGCCAAAAAAAAGATCTTAAGTGTTCCAGAATGATCCTTTGGACTACATTTTAAGTTTTGTATTTTTTTTAACTTTCTACTCTTAGTACTCTTAGGCTTATATAGGGGGAAAACTTGTGAATTAGATTCTGTAAGTTATTAGTGCATGATTAAAAGTTAGTTGACATACAGAAGACTTCCAGGGAAAATCCAGATATCGTCTCAATCATGTTTTTCATGCAAAAATTTCATTGTTTACTAAGCACGTTATTGTTACTTAACTCTGAATCCATAATCTTTATTTGTTCATCGAAATTTTATCTTCACTTTTTCACATCAGTACCTGTACTCTGATGGCCATTTCTGAGCCTCATGCAATTCGAAAAGAATCAATGAGATAACTTCTCCATCCAGCTTAAATCTTTATCTAGAGTTCTTAGTTTCTTGTTAGTGTAATAAAAACACATTTATTAAATATTGCAGTAGACACTTATAGCAGTTTTGCTCATTTAAAAGCTTTAACATTGTTATTAATTGTTACCAGAACTTGACACTGACATAAAATTTTCAGTGAAAATATCTTGAAATATAATTTCATTGGAATTTTAGGCAGAGTAGACATAGATTTGAGAACTTTAATGGACTGAAACTGACTGTTGAATGTAAAGTAGATGACGTTTTGGCTTTTCTGCTGTGTTGTTTATAACTTACTTGCCAATAACTTCTAATGAAAGCAAGCTACCTACATAGATAAGTATAGAAGCCCAAACATCATCTCTTTTTCTTTTCATTCAACCGGCAGTTACAGTCCATTAAAGTTCTCAACCTACTTCCTTCAAATATCCAACCATGTTCAAATCAAAAAATAAAAGATATAATCCTAGTTGCTTTAATTGCAGGTACTTCGAGTATTTTCAATGAATTCTGAATGAATTGTATGGTGAAAAATGCCTTGACTACTTTGTTTTCATTATAGTGTTTTTATTCTTTTCATAAAGCTAATCTAGTATACCTTTCTACTGATAAATTTGATGGCAACTTGTGAAGTTCATTTAACTTTTAGTTTTCCTCCAGCTGGATTCTGGATGGATTAATTGATTGTTTTGTGTTTATGTGATATTATTATGATATTGAGTTTTTAATACTGGCCAAGACAGTTGAAGAATATGTGTTCATTGAACTACTAAAATTTGTATCTTATTTGAAATGTGTCAGTGATGAAAGCTGTGTGTAAGAAAAACTTACTGTTTCTTGTACATAATTATATCCTTTTTATACACTTTTGCATAAAGTTAATGCAACTTCACTAATTAGGGACATTCCCTCAAGTTTATAAATGTTATTATAATTTAACTTAAGGAACTACTGCTCTCTCTTAGGTCATCAAAAAACAAAATGCCAGATGTCTAAATGGATTTCTTGTTAAGTTTATTAGAAGCATCATTACTACCTGTAAAGATGCCAGTTGTTGTCACTTGTGTTTCATGAGCTTATCTAAAATTACTGTTCCTGGAGTTTGGTTTCAAAAAACGTTTTAATTCTTATAATGTCTCCATACTGTAACTGAAATTCCATATTGTGTAAGCACATAATAATAATGCAAGTTGATACAGAAAAACGACTTTATCTGAATCATATTTTCTTAGGACAGTATTGAATGTAGTATATTTATTTTTGAACTTTGTAGCATTAATTAATTTTGTGTTACAGAAGATACTGTAGCAATTAAGAATGTTGATAATGTATGTTCTTCCATAGCAGATACTGTAGTGATCAGAGTTAATGACAACATACAGTAGATACTGTAGTGATCAACTGCTGACAAGGTACATTGTGTCTCAGTGGATACTGTAGTAATCAAATGCTGACAAGGCACATAATGTGTCAATTGATACTGTAATAATCAGATACTGATGAGGTACATTGTGTCTCAGTGTATACTGTAATGATCAAATGCTGACAAGGCACATCATGTGTCAATTGATACTGTAATAATCAGATACTGACGAGGTACATCATATCTCAGTAGATTCTATAATAATCAGATACTGATGAGGTACATTGTGTCTCATTGGATACTTCAGTGATCAAATGCTGACAAGGCACATAATGTGTCAATTAATACTGTAATAATCATATACTGAAGAGGTACATTGTGTCTCAGTGTATACTGTAATGATCAAATGCTGACAAGGCACATCATGTGTCAATTGATACTGTAATAATCAGATACTGACGAGGTACATCATATCTCAGTAGATTCTATAATAATCATATACTGATGAGGTACATCATGTCTCGGTGGATACTGTAATGATCAAATGCTGATAAGGTACATACGTACCTTGTCAGTATCTAATAGTTACAGTAACTACTGAGGCATGCATGCCACAGATAATCAGATACTGACGAGGTACATCATATCTCAGTAGATTCTATAATAATCATATACTGATGAGGTACATCATGTCTCTGTGGATACTGTAATGATCAAATGCTGATAAGGTACATCATGCCTCAGTAGTTACTGTAACTATCAGATACTGACAAGTTACATCATGCCACAGTAGATACTGTAACTATTAGATACTTGCAAGGTACATCATGCCACAGTAGATACTGTAACTTTCAGGTACTGACAAGGTACATCATGCCACAGTAGATACTGAAACTATTAGATACTGACAAGGTACATCATGCCACAGTAGATACTGTAACTATTAGATACTGACAAGGTACATCATGTCTCAGTAGGTACTGTAACTATCAGGTATGTAACTATTAGATACTGACAAGGTACATCATGTCTCAGTTGGTACTGTAACTATCAGGTACTGACAAGGTACATCATGCCACAGTAGATACTGTAACTATTAGATACTGACAAGGTACATCATGTCTCAGTAGGTACTGTAACTATCAGGTACTGACAAGGTACATCATGTCTCAGTAGGTACTGTAACTATCAGTTACTGACAAGTTACATCATGCCACAGTAGATACTGTAACTATTAGATACTTACAAGGTACTTCATGTCTCAGTAGTTACTATAACTATCAGATACTGACAAGGTGCATCATGTCTCAGTAGTTACTATAACTATCAGATACTGACAAGGTACATCATGTCTCAGTAGTTACTGATAACATTATGTTTCAATAAATAGTGCTTTGATCACAAAAAGTGATAAATATTCTGTCAGAGAAGTTTCCAGTATTCATGAACAGATTGACAGCTATATCTTTTAATTGAAAAAAACTCCTGCCAAAAATATAGCAATATTACTACAAAATAAGTGATAATGGCAGCATGTAATATATCATTTGTATTTGAAGTAAAATAGAACCATAGTTTGTATTACCTTTAGAGTATTTTTTATGCACTGTCTTTTATGGGTTTTTTTCCATTGTAGGGTTGTTGCTCGTTTTTTAGGATGATTTCATATGTTTTCTATGTCCAGGAATAGTTTCTTAAAAGAAACTTCAACTTACAAAATTGAAGCATCAGACATGCACCAAAATGTCTCTATACATTAGTTGGTTGAAGTACTAAGATAACTGTACATTTATCATGTAGTGTTTAACTATCTGTGTTTAGCTTGTGTTGGGAAGCACATTATACATCTAATTATGTAAGATAACCACTAAAATTGCACAATATCTTACAACCTATTTGGCTACCTTTGGTCTTATCAGTGTGTTAAGCTACTTGTGACTTTGTTACTATAAAGATCATATATATTTATTCTTTTCCACCCAGTGTGGTGGTCATTACTACTCCATTTAGTTCTATTACTTTGGTAAAATTAAAATGCCACAAATGCACTACTCCACAGACCACTTACTAAATACAAACAAAATTAAAGCTTTTAGTTATTATTGGAGAGTTACCTATTCCAATTCCGAATCACTTAGTTCACATTTTGTAAGTTGGAGCTACTGACCAAGAGCTATTATTGTTATTATTGTTTGAGCACACATTCTTTGGCAGTTTTTTTCTCTTGCAATTTAAGGGAATCGTTTTGGAAATATCATGTAACAGAATGACAGAGAAATTCTTTCCCTTCTACGGGATAGGGGGTGGATTTGTTAATTTCTGACGTAGCAGTATTGTGTTTTATATATTTTAGTTTTGTTATAAATATCAGCAATGTTTATTATTTCGTACAAAAGAGAAGTGATCTATTCTTTTAAGCAATCAAGAGTTGACGTTTGGAATTTTTATTCTAATTAGTAAGTTGTTCATTTAAAAATAATTTCTTGTTTCATGAAAGCTTTTACTTACGGTCATTGCTAGATCAATAAATTAGTGGTCACATTGGCAGGATGAAAAATAATCAGTTTTTGTTTAGCTGATTTCTGACATACTGGCCGTTTTGGTCAGTTAAATGATATTTCTATTGGGCTTCAGTGTTGATCACTGATGCCACGATATTTCTTGTTTGTGATTTTTAGTTCCGTTTTTGTAAGAATGAACAAAAAGAAAGCATTTGTATAACCTTGGAATAAAAATGTATTTGTTTGGATTGACGTGATGGGTACAAGTTTTATAAGTAATTCATAATATGCTTACCAACACCGAAATCACAGCTTTTTACGTTATTTTTGTTTGTTTGTAGTTAAGCACAAAGCTACACAATGGGCTAGCTGTGCTCTGCCCACCACGGGTATCGAAACCCGGTTTCTAGTGTTGTAAGTCCGCAGACATATCACTGTGCCACTGGGGGGTTTTCGTTCATAATGCTCTTCGTTGAACCATATATATCTATGAAACTGAGAAGATAGTTTCATGGTACTTGCCTTTATATAATTTGTTTTAATCTATTCAGATTTTGCGTTAAATTTAAAACCAGTTATAAAGGCGCCAACTTGCTGAATTATTAAACATGTACTTTATAACTCAATTGCCAATAACTTCTGATGAAAACAAGCTGCTTACGTAGATCAAAACTAAAAATTAACCTACTAAATAATATAGCAAATGTAATATACTGTTCTGAATAGGAGCATATATATATATATATATATATATATATATATAT